ACAGAAACCATTTGAATGTGAGGACTGTGGACAAAGATTTAGCCATAAATATAGTTTAAACTTGCACAAGAGTTCACACAGGACAGAAACCGTTTGAATGTGAGGACTGTGGACATAGATTTAGCCATAAGTCTAATTAAAGTAGACACGAGATTCCACACAGGACAGAAACCGTTTGAATGTGAGGACTGTGGACATAGATTTAGCCAAAATGGTATTTTAAATAAACACATAAGAATCCATACAAGACAGAAACCATTTCACTGTGAGGACTGTGGACAAAGATTTAGCCAGAAGTCTAGTTTAAACAGTCACATGAGAATCCACACAGGACAGAAACCCTTTGAATGTGAGGACTGAGGACAAAGATTTAGCCATAAATATAGTTTAAACTTGCACAAGAGTTCACACAGGACAGAAACTGTTTGAAAGTGAGGACTGTGGACATAGATTTAGCCATAAGACTAATTTAAATGGACACATAAGAACCCACACAGGACAGAAACTGTTTGATGTGAGGACTGTGGACATAGATTTAGCCAAAACAGTACTTTAAACAAACACATGAGAATCCATATGGGACAGAAACCGTGTGATTGTGAGGATTGTGGAAGGAAATTTACACAGGAGGTTGATTTAAACTCTCATGTGAAAGTCCACACAGGACAGAAACCATTAGAATGTCAGGACTGTGGACATAGATTTAGCCATAATGCTAATTTAAGCAGACACATGAAATTCAACACAGGAGAGAAACCATTTGAATGTGAGGTCTGTGGACATAGATTTAGCCAAAGTTGTATTTTAAACAAACACACAAAAATCCACACAGGACAGAAACCATTTGAATGTGAGGACTGTGGACAAAGATTTAGCCAGAAGGCTAGTTTAAACAGTCACATGAGAATCCTCACAGACCATTTGAATGTGAGGACTGTGGACATAGATTTAGCCATGAGACAACTTTAAATGCACACATCAGGGTCCACACAGGACAGAAACCGTTTGTATGTTGGGATTGTGGACATAGATTTAGCCAAAATGCTAATTTAAACTCACACATGAGCGTCCACACAGGACAGAAACCATTTGTTTGTGAGGACTGTGGACATCGATTTAGCTAAAACAGTACTTTAAACAAACACATGAGAATCCATACTGGACAGAAACCGTTTGAATGTGAGGACTGTGGACAAAAATTTACAGAGGAGGCTAATTTAACCACTCATGTGAGAGTCCACAAATGACAAAAACCATATGAATGTGAGGACTGTGGACATAGATTTAGCCATAAGGCTAATTCAAGCAGACACAAGATTCCACACAGGACAGAAACCATTTGAATGTGAGGACTGTGGACATAGATTTAGTCAGAAGGCTAGTTTAAACAGTCACATGAGAGTCCACACAGGACAGAAACCATTTGAATGTGAGGACTGTGGACATAGATTTAGTCAGAAGGCTAGTTTAAACAGTCACATGGGAGTCCACACAGGACAGAAACCATTTAAGTGTGAGGATTGTGGACATAGATTTAGCCATATGGCTAATCTAAGCAGACACATGAGAGTCCACACAGGACAGAAACCATTTGAATGTGAGGACTGTGGACATAGATTTAG